CGATGGTAACCAGAATCTTGCGCTCATCTTTGGTCCGTAATGCCCCTCCCCTACAGTGTCATATGCGCATATAAATGTGCATTTGCACCACATCCTACGCAGTCTTTGCTTGCTGTCTGACCGCGCTGGCACTAGTTCCCAGCCTTACTTGAATGAAGGTATTTTAATCACCATTTAGGAGAATTGAGGTTTATAACCCTAGAAATTACGAGAGGTGTTGGAGACCTGCGCAAATGAGTTTTTGATGGCGCTAAAAGTTTGATAGAAGATCAATACACCTAAACGATGATACAAGTATCTAATCAGTAATCCTTTTCAAAGGAGAACTTTGCTCATAGTCTCAATAATCCTATTTCATTACCTGCTACAAATTGGAGCCTGCTTGCTCTACAAAAAAGTCTCCCTCTATGTTCGGATATCCATGCGTTGGATGTAACCTAGTTACGTCTGACGCTGCAAAACTGCAAGTCGGGGATGGAGCTCAGGGCGTATTTCTGCGATGCTGTGCTCATTCTTAACTGCAAGATTTCAGGATATGAAAGGCGCTTTGGGTTTGTCTGTATCATTCAAGTTGAAGGAGTGTTTGCGGCGTTCTTCGGATAGTATCGACAAAAGGTAGTGACCACGTTTACAACTGATTTGCGTCACTCATGGAGGAGTTATAGGTTCTGTTTTGATCTGATTGCCGATGAGCGGCCTGACGTTATGACGTTCCAAGCTCTTTCCGAAGAGGATCGGCGGCAGTGGATTGACGCCATGGACGGGAAACAAACGGTTGGAAGCCGGGACTAGTTTACGCTGGCTGTTTTTCATGTGTGATAATTTAGGTATATTCACCTGGCGCTGGACCATCTACCACTACTCTTCAAAGTTAGTTTGTTTTATCATTACAGCTTATAGTCCGAGCAGTGGATGGCGATGGCTGCAGAAAATTCAGGGCTAAGAAAAGGTTATTCAACACGAGTAAAATTCTTTTGAGTACGTTATGATTTTTTGTACATCTCAAGTAATCGAGCATCGGAAGAATACTTGGATTCCATTAGACAGAAGATGGGAAAGCAGCAAGTTCTCAAGAATTCATGACTTCATATGCAAAGGTTTTCTTTATACACCTGAAGTTCAGATTCTGCCTTGCAAAGTGCAGCGCAAATGAAACAATGCTATTTTTTGAGTGCCGAATCTTAGATATATTGCATAGCAAAATTATCTTCGGCTAACTATAATCAGAGTTCTTAGTCATGTGCACATGAAATGTAATCGCCGGAGAGCGGGCATCGGAAACTTCAGACTGTTTTGTTCTCGTACTCCTTTCCTTCAATCGTAGAATGTTCACGAGTTTTTGTAAGGCCCTTGT